CGCAGCAGTGTTTTATATATTGTAACAATTTTTTTTTCTCAATATTTCTCAGCTCAGATTCGTACACTGAATTGTGAATTTACAATGGCGTCGATTTTATTTACAATTTTTAGAAGACCTATATTGACAGAGAAATTATTTAGAGGAACTTTCTTACATACTATAGAGTTCGTGCATTTGACTATATTTCAGCCGATTGACCTCTCATACTTTTAAATGAGTCCTTACTTCCAATGTCACGATTCAACTGTTCTTCTCTCTTCGACCATCACGACTTAAATCTGCTTATAAATACTTCGAAAACCAATAACAGGTCTAATTTTGAAAGTTTTATTAATTCTTTTGTCCGACTACCAACTGCAGAAAGAGACTTAACGGCACCGCCAGTTGCTACCTTTCTATTTACTTTCAATATTTTACGACTTTCGTTCTCAACATAATGACCGCAAAATTCATTGTAAAGAACAAAAGAAATAAGTCATCTGGTAGGTAAAGTCTTGAAAGTTAAAAATGAGAAATGGTTAGAATTTTTTCATAACAGGACGCTGCTCCAAAGATTGCATTTCGCTTAGTAAATTTGCTAACTTGTAGCGTAAATGATGAAACATGGCCAAGGGTAGCTCTAAAGTACGATATCGACCGTCCGGCAAATGAAAATGTAAAATTATAGTTATGGCGGCATTGTCACGAGGTAATCTAAGAAATAATTATTAATAATTCATATTTTTAATGCAATTTATGTACTTACTCTTGACTTAATGATATATTTATACGCCATTGCATATGTTTGGGATAATTTCTCACGCTTTTAGCTTCTATAAAATTTTTAGTCAACGAAACACGATGATTATGCAAAACCTTCACTAAGTCTTCTACGCATTCATAATTTAAACTGTTTGTTTTTGTAAGTAAGCAAGCAATATGAGATAAAATCATAGAAAGTGGGAAGAATAAGGACTTACTTTAAATCTTCCTGCAAGCATTCTCTTAGTTCATTTAGTTTAACGGTTCCTACGGGAGTTCTTAAATATATTTGCATTATTTGTAATATTGCAGCAAATAGTTCACAAAAATTTTCAGGAATAACATGTCCAGAGTGTGGCAGCTTATTTAATGCTAATTCCAAGATTTCCGGCGAACATTTATTAGTTTCTATATAGTGTACAGATGCTTGTATCAGTGCTCGCATCACCGGTTTTGTTAGTTGGGGAAAATACTTTACATAAGGTTTTAGATTTTTCACCACAGTGTAACAAAAATTTGTGGACATTTTAAAAAAATAATATTTCTCTGGGTTATTCACACATTTTCTGTTTACTAAACATTTATGATTCCAAAAGTTATCGATAAATAACTGATGTTTAAACGGTATTGCCATTTATTGTAATCAATAACATTATGCTTTACTCAATACAACAGAGCTGCTTTCGAAAATAATGAAAAAAAATTCTTCATTCCTTATTTAGTTGAGTTCGGATAGAGTTACTTTATCCAACTAGCTTAGGAAAACTCTTACAGAGATGCCTACACAGAAACCATTGACTTAGTGTTAGAATTTTCCATTATTATAATTTGCGCCCTGAGTTCAAAGGTTAGAAAAGTTGGTCTTAAGGCTGGCCGGTCATGCCCATCATTCATGTATTAAAGTATTTATAAGTTAGAAGACATTCGCAAACATTCGCCTTCAAGGAGTGCTGGACCTTTTTCCTTAAAGCCGCACTGATTACAGCTTCGGACGTAATGATTAAATGGCACATGGATAGGCTTCTTGTAATTGTATATATAAAATTGCTGCCTGTTTATTCCTGCTTTTACTATTGTCATTGTTATTATAAACCATTTATCCGAAAAATGTAAATTCTTGAACGTGAGTAAGATGAAGACAAGATGATCAGCAATGGTTGTTTAAAATTCAATTGATTAGTGTAATTCAAATGTAAAAAATTTTTACAACTAACTGGCGCACATTCGATTGAAAAACGCTGCTGAGGAAAACGAATAAATTGTAAATATCCAGTCAATTATTCCACGTATATAACCTTATATCGATTGAAGTAAGTTTTGTTCAACTTAACTATCAGATTTGATTATTCATGTTGATCGTGAATATATATAAGTTTTTTTTTTTCAAGTTTTAGAAGTATTTGAAAAAGTATCATGAAAGTTTTGTAAGGAAATTAAAGTGTTACGCAAGAAAGTACTAAAAACATTTTACATCTATTGTAGTGACTTGAGCGCCACATGCCTCGTTTGTTTGTTTGCTTTTAGTTCGTAAGCTTAACTCATGCTACTTCCTTTATTAAACGGTTACGATTTTCAACTGCCACTGCAACTATATCAGTTACTTGTGAAACGTCGGTTGTGCTACAACTTGGGCTTTCTAAATTAAACGCATTCGCATTCGCATCCGTATTCATTTCGTCGATACGGTTAGTTCTTATTTGCAATATAGAGAAAAAAAAAAAAAAAAAAAAACATAAATAAATGAAATAAAATTAAGAGAAATAATATTAACAGTGGCCATAAATTAATATAAGAAATTTGTAATAATTTGTAAAATTTTTACTCTTGAAGGGTGTGCGTGTGCGTGTACGTGTACGTGTGCATGCATGATGACGTTACATGACGTAAAATTGAATGAATAGATAAGGGTTCTCCTAAATATAGATTTTTCACACTTTCTGATTTGTATCGTATTGCTTCAGGTTGTTATTTATGCAGCGATTGCAACAAATGCAGTTCAAATTTTAAAAAGTATTGATTGCATATGCTCTGTTGGTGTTCCATTACTATTACTGCTATTATTACTCTTATTTTTTTATTTTTGACTATTACTACTTTTTTTTTTTCTTTATAATTTAATTTCAGTCCAAAAATTGCATAACTCTTGCTTTCAGTGTTTAAAGACACGCTGGTGCAATGATTTGTAATTGAGTGTATGTCCAAATTTATTTCATGTAACTTAAGCTGCAATTGAATCATGCAAAAATGAAGTAAAAGATAGAGTATACAAACTATAAAATCAATAATAATGCATTATATCTTTTGAATAACACAAAAAAAAAAAAAAAAAAAAAAAAAAAAAAAATTAAAATAAAAGAATAAAAAAAAACTGTATAAATGTTTTTTTCTTTAATTTGCTGTAGTTGTGATTGTGTGCGTGTGTTGTAAAGGTGATATAACGGTCTTAAAAATACATATACAATTTGAAAGAGAAAAGTTCTTTAAATATAACGTAATAAAAGTGAGTTCTTTGAGGCATGCATTGGTCTTGTGAAAGAATTGACGGTAGCTTGTGCAATTGAAAGAAAGTTAGTGTAAAGGCAACGATAAGAATCCTAATAAGAAGCCTCATTAATTCGAAGGGTATCGATCATGTTATGGCTTACAATTTCATTTTTGTTTTTTTTCTTTTTAACAGCATTTCATTAACAATGCGAAAAATGTATATACCTGAGAGCGGGTTTTAAATGTCAAGGAATTTATTAGGCTAACTAACTTAAATTCATATATTGCATAATTCTGAACGGATAAGCCAACAAAGCTGTCCTATCTTCGCATAAGCGTAACACGTAGTGCATTGCTTACATAAAAAAAGTATTAAGACTTTAGAGGCCAAGTTGAAGATTCTATACATTCATCATTTTATTCTGTGATTCGATAATCGGATAATCTTGCCGCTATACATACTTCCTTTTTTTACGATTGAAGAAACACAATTAGTTTCGAAAGCAATCGGTGGCATTTTCAATGCGAGTTTGTACGTAATATTTGTAATTTGAGCTGTGTTAAGTTTTCTCAATATCCAATGTATGGTGGAAGGAAAGAAGTCAAATGGTTTTTCGTTTTTTAAAAAATTTAACAAAATTCAGAAATACTTATAGAGAGTGATCCGTAAAATGAGACGTGATGAAGGGACGCACGTAAAGTTTTTAAAACCTTTAAGATCTACTTCCAAACGTTTGATTTCTAGTATTGTTTGTTTTTCTTTTTCTCGATCGTAGTTTCTTTTGTGATGCACGTCTTCCTTCGAATTTAGAAAGGAAGTAAAGAAAGAAAGACATTTAAAGGTTGAGTTTATGTTCTGACCAACTCTCTTCAATTTTCGACATTATTTTTTAATATTTTGTGTTCTGGGAGGTTTCAAAACTGCCCACCTGCTGATTTTGCTCCATTCCTCATCTTAAATAATATGTTGCCAAGAATCGATCGTTGAGTTTGAAAATATTTATTTTTATGTTATTATTCTTTTATTCAATTAATGTTAGAAAAGTATAGCTTAGCTTCTTGGGGAATTGGGGAAGCGTACGATATTAGAGAATGATAAAACAAGAGAGTAATAAAATAATGGAAAAATGGAATAAAAGAGTTTCGGAATGAAAACCGACCCAATCGGACGTAAGAACCATACAACAATGGTTAAATTGATATAGATAGATCAAATTAGGGAAATTAGTCAGTGAAACATTTTCAATTTTAATCGCTATTTTGGATATGAAATTTCAGATTTCTAATTCATTTTTGTCAATCGTAAAAGTCGAAAAAGCGCAGACAGGTGGAAATGGCGATTCAAAATTCTACATCCAGTACCAATGACTAAATGAGAAATTGAAAAACCTACTTGAAAAATGGTCTATCGTCCATTAGTACATCCTGCACTATATGTGGTCCGAGGGTTTATTAAGTTAAGTAAGGATGTATGCAACACTCAGAAGGACTTGAGATTGATTCCACCATTAGACTGATACATTCTGTTCGTTCGTCGGTCTGTCTGTCTTATTTTCTTTTGTTCAACGTACAGAGAGCAAATTTCTGAGATATTTTGAAGGAATTTGATATATTGTGAAGGACAAATCCTATTGAAAATCGTTTGAATTGGATCCATTTTCGCAGAGTGGAATATCGTTATTTAAAATGAAGAGGGTCACTTCTGGACATGTTAAGATATTTCATGAGGCCATTCGCATTATTCTGTTGGATATTTCGGATAGTATATAAGCTTTGAATCTTATTTCATTATTCTTATGTAAGAATTACTAGCAAGAAAAGTGTGCCAAAGTTATCTTGTAGGCGCTGTTAAATTTTTTGCATTAAAAGTGTTCTCTTTTCCCAAAACTTAAACTAATGGATTTGAGTCTGCTAACGATATAGAAAATAAATTCGTGAACTATATCCTTTTAATAGTTAACTTTCTGACCATTCCTGTCAGTTGTTTAAAATTTGGTTTTTTTTTTTTTTAATATTTCTATACTAGATGAAGAGTGCCTAAGAAGCTTTAAGCCGTTTTCAGTCTTTGCATTTGATTCATTTAAGTAACATGCAATATTTGTACGAACTGTAGCTCGCATGCAACACATAAATTTTAATTTCATTTAACTACTTGCACTGCAAGTCCACTAAGCTATAAGATTTTATTCTTTTATAAGTCGATCAACGCGATCTTCTCTGTGATAATAATTTATTTTTTATCTTTTTAATTTTAGACGTTTAAAGACTTGAAAGCAAACTTTTATTAGAAACTACTTGAAATAATAAATAAATAAATAAATAAACAGATAAATAAATAAACAAAAAAAAAAAAAAAAAAAAACATAACAAATATTTAAAGAATACCGTGCGGGCGTCCGGGCATTGCACATATATTTAAAAAACTGTCGGTTTTCGGTTTGGATTAAATAAATTAAAAGTGAAACGTGTGTAACGGAGAGCGTTCAACGTGCAAAATGTGCATACGCAGCAGTAGCGGTGATTGGGGTGTGTTTGTGCAAACATTGATTATCTCATGCTTTATAGCATTGATACAATTTACATCAGCTTCTTTGCTGGATAAACTGCAAAACAATTATTTGGTATCAGACGTAAGTGTGCCCTTTCAAGAATTTCACATTTTCTTGTTATTGTTTACAATTATTTAGCAACCACTTGTTGTTCCTTTCATCATTTACAAAAGTGGAAATGTAAATCTTTAAGTAAAAATATAAAGTATAATGAGACATCGTAGAGTGGTTGATGACGTAACTAGCATTTGTAGTCAGCACCGAAGAATGAAGGTGTATACAATATGTTAAACGATTTGTAACATACAGAAGGAAGCTTCATTGCCCCTGTTAAATATATATGTATGTATGTATGTATATATGTTCTTAATAAGTATGGAAATCTGAATCGATCTGAGCATCTCCGTCCGTCCTTCTGGGTAATGACAATTAATTTACAATATTTTCCTTTAAGATATCGAGTTGAAATCTGCTTTGCTGTACGCTGGTTGGTATTGAAATTGAATTAAATCGGTCAAAGGAGAGACTTGCAATACACCATAAATTGAGGTGACTGATATCACTTCTATTTCCAATAGTGGAGAAAGCTCGGTTTTCGCCTCTTATTTATCAAGTGCAACGCAGTACCTGTAGACAATCTATGATACTATGATATACCGAACTTTTATTATTTTCTTACTACATGTTCCTTTTAGAATAACAGTGAGGAGTATAACAAATTCCTCTACAACCGAATATAACATTTACACCTTACATAACTAATACCGAGTAAGGGTTGATTTTCTCCTTTGGAGCATCACATGTATGTATATATGACATGTCTACTCTTAGTTGAACTAAGAGGACGAATACTCCATAAATTTCGATTCCTTTCCGCAAGATCATAGTTAGCATGCTTTAGAAGCGCCTTGCGCTATTCTGCAAAGACTGGTCAAAGAAAAGTCACTTTTGCAAGTCATTCCTTTTTAGACAGCTCAGCCCGCTGAGCGATCGACCCAGTGGAAAGCAGCAGGTGTTGTGTATCCTCCCGGGCAAGTATTTAAACATGAAAAAAAGACTTAAAGGAACTACAAAAAAGAGTTACTAAACTTAAGGTTAAATTAGAATAATCATGCTTCGGGCGTGAAACAGCACTGTTCAAAAAAAAAAATTATATTCGGATTTTTATCAAAACTGAATGAATATCTTATCTAAATTTTTGCGAGAGAATGTCTACCATAGGCAGATAGCTAAACAGACAGACGCACAGAGGGATGGACATGCTTATATCGATTCCGAATATGTTCGTAATTAAGAAGATATGCACGTTATTCAATCCATTTACGGAGCTGTTCCGATATTACATTTTCAGGAAGAAATTTCACTTTTAAGATGATTTTAGAAAGCGAACTATAAAGGTCAAGGTTATAATTACCTGTAGGTGGCTAAATTAGTTCGAAATTTCATGTTGAGGTGTATATATATATAACACTTTTATAGGCAACTTTGTACATACATAGCTTATCTAAGCTCTCTGTAGATGCATGTTACAATGCCTCAAAAAAAAACGTCGTCATACAATCATGCAACCTGTCTGCTTCAGCCAAAAAGCCAAAAAATTCATTTTTTTTCTCCTTTATTTCCTTTTTCTACTGTTATTGAAGTTGATGTTGTCGCGTCTGTCTGTGTTTGCCTTGTATTTGAGTTTGAATGCGCATGTTTGCAAAATACGTAAACCACTGCCTATTTGTTTTTTAGATACACTGGCTCCGTCAAGGATAAAGTAAACATCAAATTTTTCTCATTGCTGTCGCTTGCAATTTGGCAAGAAGGGAAGCTTAACCACGATGAAGAGAAGAGAAGAAAGCTCTTATATTATTGACAGCAGAGCAAATTTAGGTCAACCGCAATCTTCATATGCCGTAGAGATGCCAACTTCACTTTCCAACAAATAAATTGCGTATTTCATAAATAGTATCACGGGATATAATAAAAAGTATTAGTTTTGTAAAATCTCTTCTATTACTCATTGATATTTTGGATATTGACGTAAAATAGTCTTTGATTATTATTGTCACTTTAAAGAAAAGAAAATGATTTTTGGTTTTCTCTTTAGGGATGGAATTACATTTTTTATAAGAAATGAGTAAGGGAGGAGGAAAGAAGTAAGGAGGAGGAAAGGAGTAAGGCCGAGGAAAGGAGTGAGGAGGAGGAAAGGGGTGAGGAGTTATGAGAGCGAAAATCGCAATCGCATTTATATTCTTGAGATCAATTAGTTTTTTACTTAGCTTCCTTTCTTCCAAGATTTTACAATTTATGAAAAAGTATTGAGAGCAGTCAGAAATGATTTGAGATAATTCGGTTTCACCAAACGAAACGAAATCAACAATTCAAGTTTATATAAGCACTTTCTAGAAACGCCTACGATTTTCGCAATTAACATTTTTATACTCATCACCGACGGATGAGGGGTACATTGATTTTGACGAAACGTCTGCGGTGCATAGAAGGAAACTTCAGAGAATGTACAAACAATATATGTCTTCTTGGCCAACATCAAATTCTCAATTGTTTTGAGCATATACAACTGTCCGGTTGTCCGTCTGCGTAACTTCTATTTTCTGGACGCACAAATGAGGCTGTCGTCTTCGAATTTGCCAGAAATATTGAAGGTTTTTGTATGCAGGTAGATGTTGAAAATGCGCCAAATCTATCCAACGACACGACTTCAATATTACGTAAACTAAGAACACCTCCTCGCGGTCTTGTACAAAACGAATTCCTTTCGCCGAGCCACACTTTTAAGAAGGAATATTATTTGGATGCTATCCGACGTAAAAATAGGCCGAGATAGACTTAAAGGAGAAGGAACTGAATTGATCTTACTTTTTCACACAGTAGTAACTTAGCCTTAGGAAAACAAATTTGAGCTCTGTTGATATGAACATCTATTACAAATATAAAATGATTCACACGTTACCTTTGACATCATAGCAGCTGGCAGTTGTTTTAGAGCCTTTGAAATGAATTTTTTTTTCTTTTTTAACTTTTTTATTTAGGCAATTCCTGGTAATTTTTAGAAAAGATATCTTGTAAATATTAATTTCAGAAATATCGATTTTTAACTTTTATTAGTAACCGACCGCATTAGTTTGCGCGTTTTGTTTATAGCATACTGCTAGCTGTCATGGGCAAGACAGCTAAGACTCATTGTACGTAGAACATTCGTTAATTACCTACAGAATTATATATTAAGGATTATTAATGAATAGATAATCAATTTTTCGAACTTTACAGCAAATTTGTTTCACTATCAGTTGTCATAATTATTGCAGCACTGCTTCAAAGTTGATTAATCCTAACCCTAACCGTGTGTCTTTATAACGAATCGCCCTACAACAAGTCTCACAGGATCATAATCAGAAAGGCATCTCGCATCTTAATCAATAATTGAATACAGAGATGCGTTGAGTGATTAAGGATACCCTTTCAGAACAAAACCTACACACACACATCTGATAATTTTGATACGACCAAAGTTTAGATGAAAATAAAAACATCTTCAAGAAATGACGAAAAATATATTTAGGTGTGCAAGATCTGCATAGCTTTCAGATTGGATTAAAAAACATGCAAGTTTCTCTTTGGCTTCCCCCCCCCACTGTAAGATGGGGTTATACTTACTTTGCTTTTTTCCATAACGTATGTGACACTCAAAAGGAAGCTTCAGAGACCCTAAAAAGTATATATATTCTTGATCAGCATGAAATTCAAACTGGGTAAGCCATGTCTTTCGGCCTGTGTGTCTGTGCGGTGTGTGTTGCTGGGACTCTCCTGGCCGCAAGAATAAAAAAGTCGACTTCAAATTTGGCAGAAACGTTGCTAGTTTTTGCACGCAAATTGGTATTGAACATGGGTCAAAGGCCGTAGTGGAGCAAACTCTGTTTTTCTTAACAAAAATTTGTGGGTTTTTGTTTATAAAAGTTACAAGGCTGAAATTTTCCATATTTTCTTGATGAAACACTTTACACTTTATAGGCAAAAATGAGTTAATTCTAAAATAAATATGGTAAATACCGCAAGTAAGTTCTTATCAATAATACTAGCGATGCGAGTATCAAATAAAGGAACTTGGAGAGTGAAAAGCGAAAAGCATAGAAAAGCGTGGATATGCTAAAATCGGCCCGCGCCGAATATAACTTTCTTACTTGTTTTTATGTAAATTTTTGAAACCTTGTAATGGCAATGATACTGACTGGCAAACTGACGAATATGCAGACGAACAGATAGAGTTTGAATTTCAAAGCTTGCAAGGAAACTTGATAATCTTTAAGAGAGAGAGAGAGAGAGAGAGAAGTGAAGGCATCACTATTAAATTCAAAATCCTACTATTCATTACACTATAGCCAACAGTGCTTGAAGAAGTGTCGTTGGGGGAATTTTGCAATAGTATAAGTTAAAGAAGAAAGAAGAGAAAAACGTTTCAATAGCTGATTACCTATTTTTCTGTTAGTCCTATATAGTTATTTACTCGTTTATTTACAAAACCGAAAAAAGGAATGCAACCCTGAAACGATATGCTCGAAAAGCGTTATAATCTTATTATTTGATATGCAGTTAGCTAAGAAAGAACTGCATCTTAACTGCGTTTGTATAGTTGCGAATAGGACAGAAAGTAGTCAGACCTTTTAGCGCTTGTTTAAGTTTTCTGCTTTTCACAATCATTACCTTAGACGAAGAGGATTTTGTAACTGAAATTTTGTTTAACAAAGGTTGCGGTCATAAAATTAAGTATAAAACATTTTAAAATGATGGCAGTGAACGTGTTACGTTCATACAAATATTTTTTTCTTATTTTCATTTTAATGAATTATTATCCAACATCACGATTGACCTTTTGATTATCACTCATTGTCAAACACAATGTATATTCTGCGCTGACCTAACTTCCTGTATTTGTGAGCAAACGAGCGAGTGTTTGATTTTTTTTTTTTTTTTCTTTTCCTTCGCACATTTTCAATTTAGTTTTAGTGATAGTTTCTTCTCACAACCAAACATAAGCCCGTAAAATTTTGCCCGTGGCAGACGTGATACTAAGTGTA